ATGTACTTTATTCAAAATAGGAAGTGATGCCAAGAATTTAATTTGGACGAAGGCAGGTTTTATTTCCTCTTCCTGAATTGAAACTTTGTACGTTTGTTTTAGCTTTTGTACTGGAAATTACGAAGTAATTTTTCCCTGTTTGTAGGTAAGCACTTATTCAGCCCAAATTATTTTTTAAATTTTACCTGGACAGTCAAAGTGTCATTTTTCCAGCTTTTTGCATGTGCCTCTTAAACGGCCTGGAACCTGATGGATATAAGTTGAACATGAAATGATAATGAAGACAGAAACATGTGGCTGTATTTTGCCCAGAGTCAATACACAGAGTTGCTGTAACAGGCTCATGGTCAGTGTTCCTGAAGAACACCCGTGCTCTCCTCCATGCCAGTCGTGGTGTGGCTGTGCCCATACCAACACCCAAGCTCTGCTCAGCTCTGCTGAATGGATTTGGGAAAAATACTGGATTGTGCTTTCCGTGAAGCCCTGCTCTGTTCTCAGCATACGGTGCCTGCTGGGTGTGACAAATAAAGCTGCTCACCTCCCTTTTAGCAGAGATTTGCTACAGCAAGGGATCCAGGTGGTGTTTAGAACAACCTGTGGCTTTTTTTTTTTTTTCCAGTAATAGCTTTTCTTGACTGAGTATTTTAAAACAAATGTAGTCTTCCCATTTCAGTAATCTCTTCTGTCTGTTCTGTATTGACATCAGCTGAAACCCAGGAAAAGGATGGAGGTTAAAACTGTAAAAGAGCTGGCAGCAAGGTAATGATCAAGAAGAGAGGTCATTAGGGTGTTTTAATTCCATTTGGCTCGGGTCAATCCTACACTTCTCCCCACCAGACACTAAAAGCATTTATACCTCAGCACTAAGATCCAAATTAGAATCAAAACTTCATTTATTATGGGCTATTAGGCTGGGCCACTTCTTTCCAGCACCGACTCAATCTTGATGATCCATATGTTTGCTATCCTCAGGTTGGTAACGACAGCCCAGGGAGCTCCAGGAGGAAAGAAGTATTGCTGAATGAATTCTGGCTGGTTCAGTTTGGGGCTGTCCATTCTCTAAGTAGCCTAGAACAGAATGAACTCATTGCTCTAGGCTTTTGTACACTGTTAACTCTTTGCTGGATATTGACTTTCACCACCCTGCTTTTTAAATGGGAGCTTGCTCTCAGTTTGTGCAGAAAGCACTGCTCCCTCTCATCATCTGTTTGTTATCATGCTCGCTGCAAAATGAACAACAGATTTGTGAATAAGGGAGGGAGAAGCTCTAAGAGCGTGCAAAAGTTTCTTTGGCAGATGAGGCACATGGCTTTGAAAAGCTTTAGATGACAAGACTTGAAGCTTTTTGTGCTTCTATTCGAACATGCCAAAAAGCACTCGGCATACCTCAGTTAAAAGACCAGCACAGAAAGCAGCTAGATGTGCTAGAAATTAGGGAAAGTTTCTAAGTCATTACTTAGCCTGAGGTATGTGGTTTTAAAACAATGTTGTGGCACTGATGCCTTGCTTGTAAGAAAGAATGCTTTTCATTGACTTGCAAGAAGAATTGGGGTGTTGACTGTGCCTCTTGAAAAGTCATCCAGTACCTGTTGGAATTTGTTCTGGTTGAAGTCACTGGAGTTTTTAGTAGTGCTAGAAGAGGTGCTTGGTAAGTGTTATTTGCAGTAGATTTCTAGCAACTGCTTGTTATAAGATTGTCCAGTTATTAAAGAAATGCAAAATGCTTCTGAGTTTTACTGAAACAGTTTAAGCCTGGCGTGCTTTTTTGTTTGTTCTTTCTAGATATCTAATGTTCTATAGGCTAACTTTCTTTTTCAGTGGAATTTCTGTATTGGAGATTCTTCCCTTGAATGTTCCAGAATGCCCAAAGAAATGTAGATTCTTCAGTATTGTGCCCATGGTGGTCATTGGTGTTCTATACATTTAACTGCAACTTCTAAAGATTACTCTGTCAATATTTGTTGTTTCTTATTTTCAGTGTTTTTAAAGATTTTGTTTGTGGGGTTTTTTTTCCCCTACTTTGGTAGTTAATTGCAACATCAGCAGTGTCCTAGGTCTCCTAAGCAATTCTCTAGCAAGCTTCTTGTTCTTGGTTCACAGAGCAACTTTAGTTTGACAGTGAGCTGAGCAGTCCTGCTTTGACCAGAGCCAAAACCTGCGGATTTAGCTTTAAAGCAACGTTCCATGTGAATTGTTTTAACTAAAACTCTTCTGCTGATACATTTAAGCCCTTGTGGGATGAACTAATAGCTTACATAGCTTACAACTTACACATAACGCCATTCATTTTTTAAATAACAGTGTTCTTGCTTTTAAGCAATCTACTCAGAGCCTGATGAAAACCAGACGTTAATTTTGTACTGTTTATTAAAATACCCCCATTGGAAAACTGTGTTCCTATAAAGTTGATTTTGTATGGTATCTAATTGCAGCAAGATATCAAAGGAGCTAAAGAGTGGTTCTGTCTGGAGAAACAAATCTCAGATCTTAAATGAGGCTGAGAATGTGTTAACTTGCATTCAGTTTCCTGCTTTACAATAGTGTTTAACATTCGAATAGCTTTGTTGAAATATTGACACTACCTGTATGTGAAGGGCTGTAAATACCAGCCGCTCTTTGGAGATACAAAACATATGGTTTAGGTTTTAAACTGAAAAAGCTGCTTCCTTTTAGCTTGGAAGTTCTAGACCTTTTACTGTTTGACAGAAATTCAGTGTTTCTGTTGAAACGTTGCTTGGCTCTATCTAGACAAACTTTGCCAAGATTCTCAGTACCAAGGTTTCTGCTTTCACAGGTTGTCTGTGTTTTGCAGTGGAAGGTCAGTCTTTTTTTCTGTTTTCTGCAAAACAAGCAAATATTTTGAGGCAAGACATTATGTATATGAAGAGAGCAGGAGATAATAGTGGGTTAGAAAGTACAAAAGTTGCGTGTTGTGTTTCTATCATTTCAAAAATGTTTTGCTCCATGGACAGGACCCCAACACTGGATCTGTTTTAACTGGTCTGGTTCCTTGAGCTTTCTACTAATTCTAGGTCCATGGTAAGCATCTGCAAATGTGTTACTTCTGGTTTTGGTCTCTTGTTCTGTACTTGTACCTCTTTTTTAAAGCAGCAGAGAACAGTTGTGCAGGTTTTCCTCCCAGACTTAGGAAATGAAGGTCTTGTAAAAGCTGTAAGTCTATTAATTGGATGGTGTTTCTCAGGGAGAGGAAGCAGCTTTTAATGCAGAATGTACTTGTACCTTGAGTCTCACAAACTGGTTATAAAACATGTAGTTGTAGTAGAGGTATTGCTAAACCTACAGAGAATATCTGGGGAAAAAAAGGGACTCTAAATTTCTCTGGTGTATAGTGAACATAATATTTATTAGAAAAGCTTTTTATGTACTGAATTAGTAAGCAAATGATCAGCTACACAAGACAGTCCTCACAAGCTTCTTTTTTGGGTAATGAAAATAAGGTGTTTAACATTTTATACATTTAACTTATGAAAGTGGAGATCAGAGGCATGCTAAATTAAACACACCTCAATTAAATGCTGACGACGCAGTAGCCTGTGCCACGCAGGGGCTCTCGTTCTCCGTTACAGAGTGTCAGCTATTTCATCTGCCATTTCTGCCTAGAGTATTTGGGGGGCTTTTGTCTATATTTGATTAGTAATCCACTGTTGTTCATCTAGCATTTTCCAGGGAAACAATCTATACGTCTGAAGGGTTGGGTGGTATTTCTAGAAAGGACCTTTTGTTTACGAGGAGCGTGGGAGTAGGGCTGGGTTTGAGCTTGATCCCCAGCTCTGCCTGGAATCTGGTGTAAGCAATGTTAGGTTGAGTATAGGGTCCTGTTAGGTGTTGGTGTTTGCAAAGATTTGAAAAAGGTGCTTTGAGATCTCCCAAGTGTTAAAAGTGCAAAATATTTTTGGCAATCTTGGTAAAATTCAGTTTGGAATCTGAGTTATGAGCGCATGTGGGTGGAGGAACATGTTTTTCATGCTTTAGGAATTTTTTTCCAGATGCTTTTTCAGTGTTTGGGTAACTATAAAAGCGAAGTGTTAAGACTTCAGCATGGATTTGTTCCTCAGTTTTAATGTAATTTAAGAAAATGGAGCCACATTGTTTGGTGGTGCATTTGAAACTCGATTACAGCGCTGATGTCGCGCGGCGTGGGTCGCTGTCTTTCAAAATGTGAGCACAAGTATGTGCAAGCCATGCTGATAAGCCTATCTGGATAGGCACTACTGCCTTGAAAATATGAATTATTCAATGCAAGCGTGTGTGGTTGGAGGTACAATAAGTGCAAGGGAAGAAATCCAGAATTGTGTTGATCCCAGGAACTACAACTTGAACAATGGAGTAGATGTAAAATGCTGTTTTGTATTTCCAGTAGGAATTTTGTCATTGAAATAGTTTCGTTGCTCTGTCAGCTAGGAGACTGCATTTACCCTGAGAACAGGATATAATTCTGTGTGGTTTTAACAGAAATCTTGTGTTCTTTCCAGATACTTGTATTTCTTAATAGGGCGTGCAGAAGCTGAGGCTATATCCGAAGCCTGAGTGGATAGTGTTTTCAGGGAGCTGGGAGACCGTTAGTAGACACTTTAACAAAGGGAAGGCTTGACTGGATTTTGTAAATCTCCCTACAGAATTCTTCTTCCACTTGGTTGAGATTCTGGCAGATGTGTTAGTGAGGGTGGAGGACTGTGCTTTAAAAACCATACCGTGTATATAAATGACTTTATGTCCTGTTAACGTTTGCTCAGGTAAAACTGTGTAATTGATAGGGTGGGTTTTGAGACTGGCTGTAAAATGGTGATAGCAATAACTGGCTTACCTCTTGAATTCCAGTTCTGAAAGAAAGTGGTTATGTTTTGAACATACTGGGGGACAGTCTGCAAAGACAAGGTGAGGAGGTGAGGGAGGATGGTGTGTCAAGGGCACCTTCTTGGTAAGAGAGGAGGCTTTGCCTTTTATAGTCTTCACCATTTAGTCTCCTGTGTTTCTTACAGCTGAGCAGTGAATATAGGGCCAAGAAGAACAACCAGCTGAAGGTAGTGAAGAAACAGTTTGTGAAAGGTTTGTCCTAAAAATATTAAACTTTTTTTAAGAAGCCTCTGAAGTACTGTTTGAGTGAGAAATAGGAACATAATGTAGCTGGAATTCACCCTGTGGTACGTGGGGCAAATAAATCCCATGGGCAGCTTCTGCTTTCAGAGCTGAGCCTGGGCTGAGGGCATGTCCATACGACTCAAGCAGTCTGGGATGCTTGGGGTTTGTGTCTGTCTAGGAAATGGGAGACTCTGCAGAGAGCATGAGAAGGTTCTTGGCCTGGATCAGAGGAAGGCATAGCAAAGTCATAAGAAAACTGATGTAATAGCTAGGATTTAATGAAAGATTTAATCTGGGAGGTAGCCTTTATCTCAGGCATTTGTTATAGCTGAGCAGAGGGGAAAGAAGAGAAAGAAAAGTTAGTTTGAGGGATAATTGGTTATTTTTATTTCCTCCTCTCTGATTTGTGTACCTTTCTTTGATTCTGTACATCAGCATTTATTCAGCTACTATTGATCTCTCTTTTCTTCTCCCTGCAAAGTTCTTCAGCTAAATCTATAGCTCTTAGTGTTTCTACAAGATTTACATCTCAGTCAGTTCATTCTTAAACTTGCTTTACTGGTCTTGTGTTGCACACAGTCTCAGTTAACTGGGAATTTAATGATTCGTGTTCTTCCAATAGTCCTGTGCTGGGGTTTTTTAGTGATTTATGTTCTTGAGGCCCACATCAGCCCTTGCTGGTGTGTATATGAAGACTCACTGTTAGCCAGGGCCCAGGGGGATTTTTCAGCTTAATTCTTAGGAGTCCTGAAGATGAAACTCTTCTGTTTTGTCAACTTGATGTTGTTTGCACTGTGAGGACTGACTCTGGTTCGTGACGGGTTTCTGCTTAGGTAGGATGGAATTTTGATTCCTGGCTAAGCAGATCCCTTAATGACATGTTAATGGACTAATAAAAATGGCTTTTTCTGGGTGTGTGGTTTTTTGAAGATCTCTTCAAAGTTGTCTAGTGTTTGCAACTGGCTACACGAAGCCAAGTTCCAGCCCACGAGGAACGCATGCCTTGAAAAGAGGCTTTGATTTTTATTGCAGCCTACACAAAAGGGCCACAAAAAGGCTTCGTGTATCAAATCTAGCAACTCTTTGAGAATTGAATTTTTTTTTTAATGAAGCATTGCTTTAATCTGGTAGTTGGGGTCTGTTTTAGCATGAGTTCAGGCAGAGGCTTCCAACGTCAGGGCACAATGTATGCTGGTCCAGAAATCTGAGGGCTCTCAGGGTTTTTTTGGTTGGCTTACATGTCAGATTCCAAATCTCATTGGCACCACAATGCCAAGATTGTTGGTGAAGGCCACTCAATGTACCTGTCTATATGAAATTAGCTTTGTGCAGCTAATTGGATAATTTGGCACAGGTAACAGAAGACTGCAGTTTTGTTTATCTTCTTTTGCATGCTAGGCACTGCAGTGGTTCAGATTGGGTTCCCAAGAAGTTAAAACAGTCTGTGGATTTATATATTTCAGTCTCAAGCAGACGAAGAGAAAGACTAAAAGTATTCCTAAAGCAAACAAAAAAAGGACTAGAATAGAAACCTTGGCCTTTGTGGTGACAATTTAAACTCCAATTTGTGAATAAAGTGGTATAGTTCAGTTCAGTGATGTGGCTAGCTGCAGAGAAACTGCATTTTTACACATTTAGTACCTTCAGTCATTTTTCCTTTCTCCATTAAACCCTTTCACTTGCACTCTACCAAACATAAATCATTGTCACCCTTAAAAAAATACAAACCAAAACCAACCCAAACAGAAAGCTCAAAGCCTTCCTGGGTTGCCTAGTAGTAGAAATAAACCCAAACATTTATCTGCAGTGAAGTTTCCTTTAAAGTTAGGTGCAGAGCATAGGCAGGGTAAGCAGTCATTCAAAAAGGCTCTTCAAAAAAGGGCTGGCTTGTGGTATTCAGACTATTTTCCACAAAATACACTGAACCATTTGGACCAGACGTGATTTCACATAACAGATTCAGCAAAGATTTTAATTGTGGGCCACGGCGCTTTGAGCCGTTAGAGCAGCATGTGGTAAATAGCTGATGTTTGCTTTTTTTCTTCTTTTTGGAGGCTTTTTTACACTTCAAGCACATTATTTTTGCCATGCAGCCCTCTGAAAACTGTCTTTCATAATGGTAGCATTTTTGGTGTGGAGACTGGCCTTTAAGGTAGCACGCATGGGGAGCTGTCCTGCTGTCATACAGTGGAGCTGGAGCAGCCCTACCTCCAACACAGGTCACCAGCTCCACGAGGCAAAAGCTGGGCAGGCTTTGAAGCATTAGCAGAGATATTTCCATTACTTGGATGCATCAAAATTGAGCTGCTTTGTGGGCTTTTTTTTTTTTTTATTTGTCAATGGTATGCAGTGAGTTTAGTTCCATTTTATGTCAAGACTTTTATTCCTTTCTCCTCCAAAGCCTCATTGTTCTTCTTTACTCCACGCTTATATCTTAAACCAACCACCCTTTGGGGCTTTTAATGATTACGCTACATATCTCTACGATTAAAGATGGTCTACACAGAAGTAAATATTAAGTAAACTCCATTCTACGTCATCAGCCTGCTGGCCTGTGTTTATCTTCTGTCAGAAAGCAAAACGAATGTCTCCTGGAATCCAGCCGCCTGTTTGCACAAGCACAAATGATTAACCTGGGCTATCAAAGGGGAGGCCGAAGATGGCCGAGAGGTGTATTTGCCAGCAGCATTCAGTGTGACCTCCCCCCACCTCCTAAGGAAGATGTGGACAGAGTGCTGGCTTGGCTCGGCTTCAGAATTAACTCCACTGCTAATTGGAGGCTGTCGTTAGCTCAGATCCTATCCACGTGTAAAAATCCTTAATTTGAGCGAGGACACTCTTGCCTTTAACTCACCAAGTGTGAACAAATTCAGTCCCAGGGGCAAATCAGCCACTTACTTTGCATTGGTGCAGGATGGGACCTACGGAATATTTTCATCACCTTTTTTTTTTCCCCTGGGTCTCAAAACACAACTAACTTGGTTTTACGGAGTGCAGCTGAGAACTGTTGTAACATCTTAGCCTAGTGCTGTGGGCTGGGGTGTGTTGGACGTGTGTGTGAGGTCTCTCACAGCCCTCCTTTGAGCACTGACAGTTGAGGAGGAGGAACTTGCCCATGAAGGCTTTGATTCTGTAGGCTGGGTCTGTTTACTTGGGGATGTTTGAAATGGTTCCTCAGCCAGGCTGTGCAGCTCTGCTTCCTTTCTGAAAATGCTGGTCTGGCTGCAGAGGTGGGTGTCTCGGCGAGGAAGCAGCAGCTTTCTGATGCAACCCTCAGCTGGGTTGTGCAGACATTGGTGCCTCTCAGTGCTTCCCTTACTACACCCGTCTGTAGCTTGTTCCTGCAGCACCTCCTGAACCACAGCAGATGATTCATTTCTGCTTTGGAAGCAGGGTGGACAACCGGGGACTGGCAGAGGAATCACTCAACAAGCTCAAGTTACCTCTGCATTGAAGACATCCCCAGGGTGAATACTGACTTTGTATAAGGCTCATCCTTTCTTCACCTCCTGCCAAATATGCTTTCACACTAGCACTTTACCCAGCCCGCTAATTTGGCCTTTGAAATTATCTCAATAATGTCAGGTACTTTAAAAAAATATTCCCATCCCTTTATAAATATTACAATCTAGATGTAGAGACATTGTTTCAGTGTTGTTGGGGATCTGTTGTATTAAAAAAAAAATAGTTCTTCAGCGATGTGCAGCAATCCAGAGAGGAGTATAAACAAATCCTGTGTCAAGCTGAAACAAGTCGGTGTACTTTGAGAAGGCAGGATGTAAATGCCCAAGTCAGGAGAATTACTGCCTTTTGTAACATTGCAACAAACGCAGGGAGATCGCTCCTGCTGACAAGCCCTAAATCCTTCTTGTATAAAAGAAAGAGAAACGAAAAGTAAAAGCTCTTTGAAAAGGTGGAAAGTGGGCAGAGACAGGGTCTGTGCAAAGCGAGTCTCAGTTGCCTGGTTTGCTGATAAGTATCCACCCCATTCTCCTACACTGCCTCTGATGCAGGGATAAAACTAATAACTTTTCAAGCCTTTGTAGCAAAGTCTACCTGAGTTCACACGTTTCAGGCCTTGTAGTAGCAGCAGTCAGATCCTTCTAGCAGCGTCGCCGAAGTCCTGTTGGAAACGACACGTTTAAGAAGCAAACCTGGCATCTGCCCAGCTCCACAGAGCAGGGAGGGGCTGTCTGCTCGGCTGCTGGCAGGGTTTCACGTCCAAGGCTCCCGTTGCTGACCTTTGTCACCAGTTTCTTTACTGGAATTTAGAAATCTATGGCTTTTCAGTGATAGAGCACTTGAAAATATTCTTTGCTCTAGTGGGTTTAATATGCAAACAGTGGAACGGAGCCAATGGCCCATCTCGAGCTGCCTGATTCTGGAGATTGCTCCATAAAGGTTTATTTCAGCTATTAGCTGCTGTGCCAATATTTTTCTTACAAGAAAGAGTAATGGTTTTTGCAACCTAAAATTGAGAGTTTCGCAGGCTGCAACTGGAAAATTGGCAGCCATGCCCATCTACTGTAGACCCAGAGCCTGTGGCAGAGGGAGAAGTGTTAAATGAAAAATAATTCTTCAATAACAGCTTTAAAAGCTTAAACCGCTAGTTAGCTCTAAAAAGCACACCTGAAATATGGAATAAAGGTGATAATTATATAGTCAGACTATATGTAGATAGTTATAGATGGCAGACTTTTCGAGCTGAATAACGTATTCTTAAAATTGGGGATGGGGAAGTGAAATTAGTTATTTGATTTTAAAAAGAAGCTCCACCAATCACAAGAACTTTAAAATTCCTTTTGGCTGGTACTACAACATGCAAGTTCTTATTTTACCTGTACTTATTCCCTGTTTTTCTGGTATTCTTTCCTCTGAAGCACTCGCACCAGGAAGAGGATATTAAAGGTTGCTCTGTCGTGCTTCCATACAAGAGCAGATGGTGATTCTGTGGTCCTGTTTTGCTTCAAATTGAATTGCCATAGTCCTGCAGACTTCTCTTTTTTGGTCAGTTCTTTAAAGTAAAAATAGAAGAGAAGCTTTCTCTGATTGCACTCTTTGCCAGTGTAAGAAATAAGCAATTTTTAATCCATTCTAAAAATAGTTTCCTGGTGCGACTGCTTTAATTATTGCTAAGACAGAGGATTTGTGTATTTTTGTCCATGAACATCTGGGTTAAATAGTGGACTTCTTTGGTCTGTTTGCTTGACATGTGAGGTGAGGCAATTTTTATTCTGCTGTGTTAGGGGAGGAACGTTGCTCTGGAGTTGAGAGGTGGAATTCTAGTAGAAGTGTAAAAGATAGTTAAAAATAACAATTTAAAAACCCCAAACATATTTGTTCCCATATTTTTGCTACTGCATCTTCACTTTCCCAAATATACAGTTCAGGTGAGAGTGAGTGTAAATTGGGAGCAAGATGAGCAGAAATGGTCCATACCAGGAAAAATGGATGTTTGAGTATCTTCTGAGCATTGATTCTCATGCTGAAACATCAGAACTGGATGGGAAAGAGACTACCTCAAAAACAGTCAGGTCTTTTATAGGTATCTTGTCTTGGATCTTAGTTTTAGGTAAGTTTGAGCTCAAATATTTTCATCTTTGGCTTTGTAGTTGTTTTTCTTGGCCTGTTAAAGAATTTAATAGACACTAAACAACTTGGATTGCTGAGATTGTACTGAGCAGTCCATACTGAAAAGCTAATTTAGTCTTGTAGCTGGTAATAGACCTGGTAGAAATGGAGATTGATGCGAGTTTCCTGATCTAATTTTTACTTAAACTGCTGTGCTATTTAGTAGAATTGGAGAGGGAGATGATGTCTCATTTGTGGCCCTTACAAAGGAAAACATCTTTATGCAAATTTTTTGTTTCAGTGTATATTTTTTTTTTTCTCCTTACTTCCCACAAAACCTTTTTGTGTTTGCAGCCTGCTCAGGCTGTTCCAGAGCACCTCCCATGGTTTGTTTGACTTGGTGTGTTCCTTTTGTGTGCAAAGAGCAGGAGGTTGCACTGGATTTGATGGGACTTTGCATGGAGGTGTCTTCCAGGAGCCCCAGAACTGTTCTCTGTTTAATCCTTGTTCTAAAATGGGTGGGTTGTGAAACAACAACAACAAAAATCTATTTTATCATTCCTGTAAGCATGCAGTATAGAAAATTAGGAGGTTTTAACACAAAAGGATGTTCATTAAATCTTTCATGTATGGTAACAATAGAACAAAAGCAAAGGAATTTTTCTCTTTGTGTAAATCTTTATCTAAAGAAAACAATGCTCACGTTTAATATTTGGGTGGTTTTTTATGAATTGTGATCAGGTAGTATTGTAGCTGGTATGATTGCTGGGAAGTTGATTGGGGTTTTTTTCTGGTTTTAAGATTTCTTTATCTGGTATTTTGTTTTGCAGTATTATGTGCCAAGAATCTTGCAAAGAAAGACTTCTTCAGTAAGTATGGCCTAATTGTATAACTTTCAACTCTTGATGAATGAGATTTATTTGTTGATTGTGTATTATTACATCTCTGTATGTCATTTGTTCTGTGGTTCCCTTCTCTCAGTAACGTTGCATTACTCCATGAGTACGTGTTACCCCAGCTTGTATGTAGATAGCCTAGACCCCAGGGTTGGAAAGGCTGAGGACTCACAAATTCTAGTTGGAAGTCTGGCTGATGAGACCCACAGGCAGGTTGCTGCTTTACAGTGCTGGGTGGAGCACCAAGAGCACCCTTCTCAAAACTCTTCCCAAGGCTATGAGTGAAGTACTCCAGTGCTGCAGACTCAGTAGTATGTTCAGGACTGGATAAAAATGCCTATTTATCAGTGTACAGGGGTATGCACTGTCAATTAAGCACATTTGACCTTTTGTTTTCTAAAAACTTTCTCAATTTATTGCAGATATTAATCTCTATGACAGAATTATGCTATCTAATTAGTAAGTCAGGTCTCTATTTTGGATTTACTTAAATAGCTATAGGATTATGGCAACTTTCCTTTCTTGGGCAAGGAGGAGGAGGAGCTCATGATAGCATTACCTTGGAAGGAACAAAACAAAGTACTATGTTTAATAGCTCTTTTTCCCTTCCACAGGACTTCCTGACCCGTTTGCAAAAATAGTTGTTGATGGGTCAGGTCAGTGCCATTCAACTGACACTGTGAAGAACACGTTGGACCCCAAATGGAACCAGCATTATGATCTGTGAGTTTTTTCTAAAGTCCTATGTAAAAAAAAACTAAATAACCCAGGGATTTATCTAGTAAATGGAATGCAAGGCTCTACAACTTCATTTTGCATGAGCCAGAACCATTGCATTTGCTGAGGAGAACTGGTATTTTTCAATGGCCTGTTAATAAAGAAGTGGTGTTTTGCTTTTAGGTGTTTGAATGAGGGAATATCTGTTTGCCAGGTACACAGCACAACTGCTTGGAGTAAGCTCTGCTGGAGCAGTGCAATCCAGCCTTTACAAAAGACTGTCCTTGCAGTGATTTCTTTTCTTCAAATTATTAGAAACCTAAATTTTATAGTTTCGTACGTGAATCAGCTTGTTGCATAGTTTGTAATGAGCCTGTCTGTAGTTAAATTCATGTTGCAGCAATATCAATTTAAGATGCTGTGTGAAATCATAGTGCAGTAATTCATTAATAATGCTATTTAAGGCTTAAGCAGTTCTGTATTTACAATAAAGCAGCATGACCAATGCACTAAAATGTATCAGAATTTCTGTAGCTAACAGAGCATAAATTCTGTGCAGTAAAAAGAGGTTATTTTTTCTAAATTTACTCTTCTAATATGTATTTTTCTAGATATGTTGGGAAGACAGATTCCATAACCATCAGTGTATGGAACCATAAAAAAATCCACAAGAAACAGGGAGCTGGCTTCCTGGGGTGTGTCCGACTCCTCTCCAATGCCATCAGCAGGCTAAAAGATACTGGATGTAAGAGCAATTCCTACCTGGAGCAATCAAGAGCCCTCGGTGCCTTGGAGCTGAGGGAGGGGATAGTATCTCCACCTGCCCCACCCAACCCTTTTGTTGATCTTTCCTCTTCTTGTTTTCAGACCAGCGTTTGGATCTATGCAAACTAAATCCCACAGACACCGATGCTGTACGAGGCCAGATAGTGGGTAAGAACACTCTCAGCTGAACTTCCATTTTCTGGAGTAAATATACTATATGGAGAAATGTTGTAGCAAAAAAGAAACCTGTAGTCATTGTGGCTTCTGTTCTTTTTCTGTGTTGTTTCTTCTGCCTTTAATGGGGTTAAATTACATAACCTGAAAATTCTCATTGTACTCCTCCGTAAGACTTTGTTTTCTCTCAATGGATAATAGGAAAAAACATTAAAAAGAGGGAGTGCAGCATGTGGCAAAGCTCCTAATGCAGCTCTGGAAGGGGAAAGGTTGCTGGGAAGCTGATTGCCTTTGGACAGGCAAAGAGAATCTTCCATGGAAAAGATGATCTGGAGGAGTTAAAAGGCATTTTGCAAATTGCTCTTTTAATACCTTTGACTCATGTGATCCATTTCCAAATTTCAACAAGGCGTTGCTAATTATATGGCTAATTTACCCCATCTTACCACGTTTTTCTGCCCCCCACCCAGCCCAAGCTTTTCATTGATATACACATTTGACAAGCCCCGAATTCTCACTGTAATGATGACATCTAGTGGTGAGTCATTTCTTTCCAGCTCACCTTTCTGGAGCCTCCTGAAACACAGATGTAGAACCTGACATGTTTGATGTTTACAAAAACAGAGGCAGCTGAAGCTCTGAGGGCAATGCCTCTGGTTTCTCTACTCCCTTTTTACAAAATGAGTAATGTTTTAGGGTTATAGGAGGACTTTTGGTTAAGTGATGTGCTTTAGTGTGTAGGATGTAGCTTTCCTTCATATTTTACCCTGTATACATGTGGGTTGTTTGGCTTTAGGATGTTTTTGAAGGAACAGTTGTGTTTCTATTATTAACTTGTGTGTGTTTGTTTTTTATTTCAGTCAGTTTACAGACCCGGGACAGAATAGGCACAGGAGGTTCTGTAGTAGACTGTAGAGGGCTTTTGGAGAGAGGGCTTTTGGAGAATGAAGGGTAAGGATTGTTTTCTTTACACTTAATTAGAAAAATGGTTTGGATGTGGAAAGAATGTAATTCACACTAGAACTATTTAATATCAGTGTGATTAATATTTTCTCTGGGAACAGGTATCAGGTAGTAAGGTCACAGATGGATACTTGAAGAAAATAAACTAAACTGGGTGTAGGGCTTGATAGTTTTGTTACCAGTGCTTCTGGCACTTCCCTGAGAAATTTTGGGTATAAAAACCTTAAGAAAGTGGCATATCTTGGATTAAAAGTTGCAGTACTTGAAATAATGGGGAGAGACAGAGAGCGAGAGATGGTTATTTCTGCATTCACTTCTCTTGTGATGGAAACTCTTGAAGTTTCCCCATTTTCAGAACTGTTTATGAAGATTCTGGACCGGGGAGGCCGCTGAGCTGTTTTATGGAAGAACCAGCACCATACACAGACACTACAGGGGCTGCTGGGGGAGGCAACTGTCGCTTCGAGTCCCCCAGCCAAGATCAGCGGCTTCAGGCACAGCGACTTCGCACCCCTGAAGTCAGAGGTCATGTACAGACACCTCAGAACAGACCCCATGGTCACCAGTCACCTGACCTACCCGAAGGCTACGGTAAGGATTTCCCAGAATTATAAATTGAAGGTTTGGGCTTGGTTTTGTTTTGGTTTTTTTTTTCAAAAGACTTCAGAGAAAAATTCTCTGAAAAAAATTCTTTTTAATATATAGATGCAGCTACCTGTTAGAACATGCAGCATCCATGTGCATCTAGTGGTCTGTATTTTGGAAAAGGAACTAAGCAGTGCAGATGGGAGTTGGGCTAATTAGCAGTTGGCTACGCCAGGATACACTGAGGGGTTGATGGTAAATTAAACATGAGGTTGTGGTGTGATGCTGTTACAGAAAACTCGCTACTAATCTTGGCTGTGTATCTGGGGAGAACGAATGTAAAGAGCTCTTTAAACTAGAGCAGTAATGCTATTTTTTCCTTCCCCCTTGGCATGTTGTGTAGGTTTGAGCCCACATTTGAGAAAAGATCAGGAAAATAACAAAGAAGCCAGTAGTACAGAAGATTAGAGAGGGTAAGATTAAGGAGAATTTAAATCTCGGAAAAGAGCACACCAAATCTAGGAGTAAAGAAATCCAGTTTGGGGATTTGGCTTGTCTGAAAATCTAAAAATAAAAATGCAAACTGAAACATAGTGGTGCATGGATTTGTGAGTTTCAAAAGAACCCTGAAACATGTAGTCAAGTAGATTTCTGAAGACAGTGTTTAAGGACAAAACAGTCCATGCTGCAAGAGATCGGGTGGGGGTGGCTCAAGCACTTTCTCCTGGCTCTGACAGAAAGATAACATGCTAATGGCTTTGAACAACCTGTTTATTCTGATTCTTTTCCAGATTTGTAATTAAGAATAATCTTTCTTCCCTTTTCATAGAACAAAGAACAACGGTACAGGGACAGGTTTATTTTTTGCACACACAGACTGGAGTTAGCACGTGGCATGACCCGAGGATACCAAGGTATGTGTAGTTACAAAGGCAGGGGGTCTGTGGCAATGAACTGAATCTTTAAGAGCAGAAATCTATTAAATAACCTGTCTAAATTTCAAGGGAGAGCTATGAGCAGAGGAATAATTTTAGCTCTTTCTAGTTACTTTTTCACCAAGCATTAAGAATTCATCTTTTTGAAAGAAAAAAATTTTCTACTTGTGAATCGTGTAAAACAAAAGGGAAAAAAAGGAATAGTCCTTGAGGAATTCCTCTTTGACAAATTCATCCTAAAATGTCAACGTGACTGTTTTTTGGTGAAGCTACAGATTTCTGAATCTCACCTGGATACTTTTTTTAATATGAAAACAGTTTGGACTGCAAATTGGAGGAAAAAAGAAAAGTGACCACTTTCTTAAAGCCATCATTTCTTGAGTATTGAACTTGTAACTTTGACTCTAAGAGTGCTCACTCATCTATAACTGAAGCAGAGATTACTTGTCAGCTTTAAACTTTAAGTGATGTTGGGGTTTTTCATGCTTTAGACCAATGATTTGCAGCTAGAAAATTTGAATCCTCCACATGATTAATTTAGTAAAGCCTCTTTAAACCTTAACCTGCAGTTAATCCAGGTCTTTGTGACTGAGGTCTGGCGCTCTTCCTTGAGAAGCTCTGGAGCTGGGCTCTTTCCACCCAGACCACCTGCACACCAGATTCAAGAGTGAAATGCAGAGTTTTAAACTCCTTCAGCTGCTGTGCTGGCTGGATAATACATGAATGGGATACAGGATATTAGAAAAATGATATAAAGTAGTGTAGGCAAAAGTGCTGATAAAACCACAGTATATGGAAGGATATGAAATATAAAGCTGAGGGAGAGAAAATAGCTGATGTTAGATTAGCTGCTATCATTGGTAGAAGAAATGACAATGCTCATTCTTCGTGTCACTTGTGTCAGGCTTGTGTGCCCAAAGCCTTGTCTCTTCTTCAAGTGGTGCAGGTTGGCCTCATGAAAGGTATTGCTGCTTCTCTCAAGAAATCTTTGAAGCAGGTTTTCAGGACCAGCAATGTAAGTGGACACAAGAGTGTCTTGTGAGCCACAGGTCACACTTCTTTTAGTTAAAGGTACCTTTCATGCTACCAACTTGCAGGGCAAAAACCTAACCTTGGCATTTAGCACAGATGTAGGTTAAAACCTGCTGTAATGAGATCTCTACAGTACTTTCAGATGCACAGCTGATTGAAACAAATGGTTACAACCATAATCTTCTTTAAGGAGCCTAACAAAGGCTTGTCTGTCTGCCTGGGTGTCCCCTGCTGGCTTCTACTCCTGGTGACACTAATGGAGCCTTTGGTGTACACAGTCTTTCTACCTTTCTAAAGCCTCTCAGTTTGCTCATTTGTAGTGATGTTGCATGGTTAGATTTAGGTAAGGAAATACAGAGAGTGATGTCTTCAACCCTGGATAACAGATTAATCCATGCCAGCTGTCTGGAGCATGCTTTACTTAACAATAGCTTTTCTATCTAAAAATAATCTTCAGGTTTCCTTCCCTCTTTTTCTTGCCAATCTTAGTGTTTTAAGGCCCCAGCCACCTAGTAGAGGAAGTGTTCTCAGTTTTCTAGGTGTAGATACATCCTACATATTGAATTCAAATGCTGCCTGCAAGTGAGTGACTATCTTTAGCAGCACTCAGGATGAGTGCTGAAATTTATGTAGGATAAAAGGGGTGAATGTGTTGGTAAAACTTTATTCTCAATGACTTATCAAGCAGATAGGATTCTAACCTTGTCTGATTAAAGTGGTGGGGTTTGGTTTGGTTTTCCAGGTGATCATAGTCCTTGGCTGCCTCAGCCTCTTAACTACTTAGATGTTTGGAGACAGTGGTTAGTGCAGAGGCCTTTGGTTCATTGTTTGGTTTTCTGCACACAGATCACATTAGTGCTAAGGGGAATTTTTCTGTGAAATCTTTGTTTCTAAAAAGTCTCTTCCTCCTTTTACAGCCCTCAGAAGCCCTGTCACCACCTAAACAATAAATGACATTGAGGTTACCTTTAAGTTGTATGGCTTTGTTACTTTGAAAACCTTTCAAAGACAGAAGGTGTTTTGCTGATTTCCCTTTCTCTCTGTGTCCCATGCAGACATAGGGAGTTGAACTACTTAGATTGAGGATTCTAAAAAGGCAGCATTAAAATAGCTATTCTGTCCTCCCTAAGACATTCCTAGCCTAGAACCACTGAGCACCAACTTCATTCCTCCCTCTCCCCTGAATGTTAGTTGGTTACATCTTTACCTCTGAAGTGCTTTAACATTTTGTTTGCTTTTCTCCTTAGAGACCTTAACAGTGTGAATTGTGATGAACTGGGACCATTGCCTCCAGGCTGGGAAGTCAGAAGTACAGTTTCTGGAAGAATATATTTTGTAGATCATAACAACAGAACCACACAATTCACAGATCCACGGCTACATCACATCATGAAGTAAGAACATGGCCTAATAATTAATGTCTCAAATTTGGATTCTTAAACCTTTTATTGTTGTCCAGTTTTAAATAGAGTCTAGGAGTCACGAGGGGATGAAAAACTGCATGACAGTGATACTGGGGAACAGATGCAATCAGTGCTCTGCTCAGGGCCTGAGCATTGGTTGTCAGTGCTGGTTTTATCTAAGCTTTTTGCAGAGACTTTTCAAAAATATTTTCACTGTGCTTTGCAGTCCTCAGGTTTAGAGGAGGGCTTGCTTATTGTGGCACAACACTAATCTCCTTAAGCTGGTTTGACAAAATTACCCCAAACTGTGCTGGAGCAAATGGGTAGTTCTGGAAATGCTGGGCTGTGGGGTAGAGGGTCTGCCAGGCAATTCCACAGGAGTCAGCTCATGCCTGCCTGGATTAGCAGTTCTAGCTCTGTCCCAACTGTGCTAGACCTGAACTGGCTTCGTGTTCCCTTGAGCTCCAGACAAGAAGAATATAAAGCCAGCTGGAGTCTGGTCGCCTGGCGCTGGTGCACAGCCAGTTTGGGTTTAGCAGGATTTAATAAGCTCAAGCTCTGCATCCTGCAAAGGCAGCTGAACTGTTGCAGAACTTACCCTGGAAGCAGCCTGACAGTGCTGCTTGTGCCCAAGATTAGACTTCTTCCTGGATCTGAGTTGTCTGTGCTTGAAGCCAGCTGGGGAATCTCTGTATCTAAAAAATAATTGCTCCACATCCCAAATAAAGCACTGATGGATAAGGATAGTTGAATGTATGAAGCTGCAACTGCTTGGGACAAGTGCATCTTTCTCTTTTAGTAACCACAGATGCAGTACTTCTACTGTGTCAGGAATCCCCAGCTTTATTTTGGATGGAACTGGAATGAAATCCATTGCAGTTATTGGCTAACTCCACTCATAAAGCTGTTGTTTGTTCCATTAGAGATCCCTTTTCATGTTACACTCCAGAAATTTGTCTCCATGTGGGAGAAATACCACTCAAGCTTTGTAACGACTGCTCAGTCAGCATTCAGGGATCATGCTCCACAGCCTTCCACAATGTACTGCCAGATAAAAACTGAGCTGCAAAATGCTGAAACCCTTTGTTATTAATATCTGTATTCTTTACATCCCTAAATGTAGGAGAATGGTGCTGTAGAGGTTACACAGCTGAATATGTATTTCACCCCAGGTTTCTCTTAGAGAAGTTTAATAAGTTCTTCCATCACTGTTTTACATGCTCCTTATTGTTGCACTTCTCAAATAAATATTTTGCTTTTCTTTCAAAGCCATCAATGCCAGCTAAAAGAACCCAGCCAGCAGCCTCTGCCAGCTCCAAATGAGGGATCACTAGAGGACGGTGAGGAGTTGCCTGCACAGAGATATGAAAGAGACTTGGTACAAAAGTTGAAAGTTCTTAGACATGAGCTCTCTCTTCAGCAACCACAGGCTGGCCACTGTCGCATTGAAGTATCCAGAGAGGAAATATTTGAGGTATTTGATTGACTTTTTACTACTAATGGCAGGTTTTGTCCCTCAGGAGTTAAGTAAAACTGAACTCTTTAGTGAAGAAAACTTGTTATAACTAGAGTTGCACTTGGTCAAGTGTTACAGAGTTATCACTGGAATTTGCTTCAGATTAGCACTTTAACAATGTTTTCTGTAGTTGAGTAACAATCTATGTTACAGCAATGTATCTTAGTAGGCTTCATTCTAGGAAGGAAATGCAATATCTAATTGTGAAAATACACATATAGGAATCCTACCGTCAGATAATGAAGATGAGGCCAAAGGACTTGAAAAAGAGGCTTATGGTGAAGTTCCGAGGAGAGGAAGGCCTGGATTATGGAGGAGTAGCAAGGTGAGATTTTGGGGCTGCCCTGACACTTTTTAGCTGTAAAATTCTCCTTCCAGTGACCTTCAGTTAATGGTATATGTAAGTTATTTCTGATCAGGCTTATAGGTAGTGGTTGTAGCTTCACTCTTCATATTACAGTAGATTGGAAAGTGGAAACGTGGTTTGACAGTTGTCCCACACCCATCCTGGTGTCAAAGGCTTGTACTAATGACTTTGGCATGCCTTGTATTTGGGAATATTACTGGAATTAACGCTAGATGGAGGTGTTTCTGTTTCCCCTCTTCTCCACAGGGACTCTTTCCATCACCATTACCCAGTGAGTGTAAAGGGCTTGGTTAAAACAGGCTGTTGAACTTTGGAGAAAATGCTGATCCCAGCAACAGGCTCTAGTTTCATGAGTGAGAGTGTGATCAGCTCATATTGTGAGGTCTTTCAAGAAGCATACAGCCTGTGAAGTAAAATCCAAATCACAGGAAAGGTTTTGTTAAATGCACTTGTCTTACTGCCAGCAAATGGGTTGCAAGATGATAAGAGTTCCTCTTTGCTATGTCTCAGCCACATTCTGGAGAGTCCTTTGATCTATTGGAGCAGAAGTGGACATGAACTAATCCTAAACAAAGGCTAACTCTGAGGACTTGCCTGCCTCTTAAAAATAATAGTAAATCCCTGTGAGTCTCATCAGATCTTAAGTTCTGAGGTGATAGTCCATCACCAAAACACTCATCTTTGCCATGGCTCAGGTGCATTGTGGAAATTCCCTGAGAAGCTTCTCAAATCCACAAAGGCTGCATCAACTGCTTGGGTGTCTTTCCACAACCCATTGCTATACAAAGAAAAGAGGCTGCTGCATTCTGAGCTGCCTTACCCAAGGCAACCTGGAGTGTCCTCACTGGTGACATCCTGTTACCCTGATGGCTTTCATAATTGCCCTTTTTCTGCAACGGACTTTTTCATATTTGTAAGCACTGAAGTTGATAGTTCAGAGTATTTTGGACATGGGATGGGTGTCCAAATTTAATAATAAATGGGTATTTGTCATGGGGAGTTGGGAGGTCAGAAATAGCTTTAGTTCCATTCCAGTCCTTGCATGTTACTGAGGGGAGAGAATTTGCCTAAGCCCTCCTCTTGTCATACCTCTGGTGTCTCTGCCCCTTCTGGCCTCTGTGCTGAAAGCACTGAGTCTGGAACTTCTCTAGTCCTTGAGCAGTTGCAGAAAACCAGCTTTCCTCAAGACCTCCAGTGACTGGGCTGATTTTAAACAGCAGATTTTTTGAATCTTTTTTGTACAGTACAGGTTGCAGGGGAGGAGATCTCTAGTCTCTGAATAGCTGAACTCTGTGCAAAGTCAAGATTTGGTTTTGTCAGTAGTTTTTGTTCAGACTCAGTTTTTTGATGGCACTGTCAAACAGCTTGCTATAGCTTCTCTAAGTGATGTTAGTCCCTTCAGGACTTCCCAACTAAAACAAGTCTGCCTGTGGGTGGATTAAGACACTTTATGGGTTTTAAGCATAGGTTTATGGTCTGCAAATGGAGGGTGGTACAAGGTGATCTGATTTTTGAAATAAGGGTTTTGTAAGTGATGATTCACAATAATTGTGTTATCTGAAACTTAAGTGGAAGTTGCAGCCTTCTAAACATTCTTTTTTTCCCCCTGAGCAGAGAATGGTTGTATTTACTGTGCCATGAAATGTTGAATCCCTATTATGGACTCTTCCAGTACTCCACAGATAATATTTACATGCTGCAAATCAATCCAGACTCTTCTATCAATCCTGTAAGTATTGACTTCTGAGCAATGTACCTACTTGAACAGATGTCCCTTGTCTTCATCTGTTATAGCTCTTCTTCCATGGCAAGAGTGTAAAGTGAAGGGTGAAGCAGAATAAGAACACGTTAATGAGTCTTATATTGATGTAGTATGAAGCAGAGGAGGGTTGCTGAGAGATTAAAAGTACAATAAGTTTTTGAGAAGCATCTGATCTCTTTGAGACTCCTCAGTACAGACTGGGATGCATGATGATCCTGAGAAGATACACATAGGTGAAATTCATCTTCCTGGTGAATGCAGGTGGCTGAGTGAACAGCATTGGCCCCGTGGCTGTCAGAGTCTCTTGCTTGCCCTTTCTCAGCAAGCTGCTGTGCTTGTCTTTTGTTCTTGCTGGAGTATTTGTATTGATGCAGACCCTAAAAGCAGCAGCAATTCTGCATTAGTACAGGGGAACTTTTCCTGACGTGACGTTTTCTCTGTCAGATGGGGGAGGTAAATTGTAAGAGTCTCATCTGTAGGACTTAGTGCTCAGTTTTCAAAAGCCAGTTTATAAACAATGTGAAGGACACAAAGCAAACAAGCCCATGGCCTTCTTCCTCAAGAACAAAGAGATTTTGATGGTTAAGCAAAGAATAAACTAGTTTATTTGGAATAGTCATATCTTCTTGGATTCTGGAGGTTTCATGGGGATTTTCTTTCTCCAAGTTTTGCCCTTTGAGAAGTCTAGAGGACTTGTCCAATCTATTAGGTAGTGCACAGAGACTTGTTTGTCTGAGGCATTTAATCATTAAAAGCTTCTATTCTTGGTTAAGTTATGAGGACAAACAGTGGCTTCTCTTGCCCAGAGGGTTGTGGAGAACTTGCACTGAGCACACAACCGATGCCACAGACAGAACCACAAGATGTCAGTGTCTTCCCACTGCCTGATTCTCAATCCTCTCTCCCTGCAGGACCATTTGTCTTATTTCCATTTTGTGGGTCGGATCATGGGTTTGGCTGTGTTCCATGGACACTATATCAACGGGGGTTTCACAGTGCCCTTTTACAAACAGCTGCTGGGGAAGCCCATTCAGCTCTCTGATCTGGAATCTGTTGACCCAGAATTACACAAAAGTTTAGTCTGGATCTTGTAAGTACTGTATTTACCAGTTGTCTTGCTGTAGAGAAGATGGGGTAGAGCATGTTTGCAATGGTGGAGATAACACTTTCCAGAAAATTTTTACAAAAATCTTGTAATGGTGGAGATCTGTACAAACTTATTAAATTACTGCTTCTATGTCAAAAAGCTCAAGGTACTTGAAAGAATTCTTTTAGTAAACTCTTTGTTAGCTCTCCTTGCAGAGTAGACACTAAATAATTAAAGTTTGCATGGGTATGGTGAAATATCACAGTATGAAAATCCAAACTCAAGATGGAGTTCTGAGAATTGCAGCCTATTCAAAAGAAAAACAGCTTTGATTAAAATGGAAATAAATGGAAGTAACTTGGGCTTCTGTATGCTTAGAGTTCAGGACAAATCCAACACTCAGTGTGGCTTTGGGATCACTTTGCATTATCTCAATTCCTTTTTCCTAATTGCTGGTTTGAATTTTATATTCAAAGTTACTGATGTCGTTGAAGTTCACTGCATGTGATCTCTGCTGTGCTTCACACTGATCCTTGACAGCAGATCAGATTTTTGCTGTAGATAGATGTGTGTGTGTGTTTTTGTGTATATAGGGTTTTATTCACTGTCCTGAGTACTGATAGAATCAGATGGATGACCCATAACTGATCAGGCTCTTCAGTGTGCATTAAGCTATACAGAAACCAGTGATGGTGGCAATATTCCTCTAGTGGTGTAAAATGAAGGTGGCCAGTTCTAGGTTTAGCCTGAAGGCAAAGTGTTCAAATAAACTGTCAGCATCACCACGGAGAGTTATCAAAACATCCAAAATACAAGGTTTCCCCTCTGTCTTTCCATGCCAGAGAGAACGATATCACCCCGGTTCTGGACCACACCTTCTGTGTGGAACACAATGCTTTTGGGAGGATTTTACAGCATGAGCTCAAACCAAATGGCAGGAATATTCCAGTGACAGAAGAGAACAAGAAAGAATACGTCAGGTATTGCAGAAAAAATATATGTAGGATCCTGAAAACGTAGTGGAAAGAAAGTGGCAAACAGATTAATTTTTTTAATATGGTGAAAGTAATGAAATAAGTATTTGGGGGGGGAAATAAATGACTTGAGTGTTTTCACACAATGTGCTATTGTAAGACCTGGGAAGATGAAGCTGTGAAGTGTACTTTGTTTTTTCTGTCAATGGTGCAATGATTAATTGTTGATGGAAAAAAGAACTGATAAGCACTTCTTTATTATTCTTTTGTAATCTAAACTGTGTGTATTCAAACAAGCTCCCCTGTGAAACGAGCATTTTCCAGCTCTGTTATGAAAAGCTCAGTCCTCTCTAGCTCCTCATCCCTGACTTTCTTGTTTCCCCCCAGGTTATATGTGAACTGGAGGTTTATGAGAGGAATAGAGGCACAGTTCCTGGCTCTGCAGAAAGGTTTTAATGAACTTATTCCTCAACACCTCCTTAAGCCTTTCGACCAGAAGGAACTGGAGGTATATTTTTTCTCTACACAGAATATTGCCCTGTAATTTCTTTGATCCACAATCAAGCACTGTTATTAAAAAAACCAAAACAAACCCACAAATCTCATTCCAGTTTGTGTACCAGAAAGCTGTGTATTTGTTTAACCAAACCCCTTTTGGTTTGTTCTAGTCATTCTTTGGGTTAGTATTATTGAGAGGGCTACTTAAACAGAGAAATACAAGTACATCATGTTGCCTCACCAAGTACTACTGCTCAAAGCAGTAAAAAAAATTTAAAAAAAACATGGCAACCTGTGGAATATGGACCATTTGTGGCACTGGAAGCACCAGCTTTGTGCCAGTTGTTCATGCATACTGATTAATCCCATGAAGTTAGTGCATTCCGTTTGCTAGTGGCTTGAAAAGGCAGATTAAAAATCCATTAAATATTTCAATACTGTCTGCATCAGAACAGTCACAACCATCCTAATAATGTGAGTGAGTGTATGTGAGTGCTGCCTTGGTGGCACAAAAAGGCAGCTGCTAAATGGAAATTTGAATCCTCAGTATGAAATGTTATGGGAAATGTAGAATGAGAGACACGTTTTGGTTTGAGGGATGAAGTTTTCTCTACACCAGTTATTTCTCACTGCTAGCTGGTTAGATTCATAGCCAGTAGTGGCTTTCTACAGTATTTTGCAACCTGGTGTCATCTGGAAAAGAAATTTGAAGCCATGTCTGCTCTGTGTCAGAGCATCTCACAAATGACATCAGATAGCACAGATTAACAAAGCAGGGCTTGAATGGGCCTCTGACTGTAGTTTCTTGTGAAAACTCTAGCTCTGGTAAGTGTATTCCTTGGCCTGAGTTTCACTGCAGTTTAAACTGGATTTCCTGCCCCTTCTGAACTAGTTGGGAGCATTAGCTTGCACCCAAAAGGCAGTTCAAGCACGTAAAGAACGTTAGGCTTCCCAAAATAGTGGGATGTATACTTTTATAGCTGCAAGCCTGAAATGAAATCTTAAAAGTGTTTTCTAATCCTTTAACAGCTAATCATAGGAGGCCTGGATAAGATAGACCTGAACGACTGGAAGTCAAACACACGTCTAAAGCACTGCATGGCAGACAGCAATATTGTGAAGTGGTTCTGGCAAGCTGTGGAAACATTTGATGAAGAAAGAAGGGCAAGGCTGCTGCAGTTCGTGACGGGTTCAACACGTGTCCCACTTCAAGGTTTCAAGGCTTTACAAGGTGACTGATGTGGAGGCTGAGTTAATCTGTGGTGGGAGAAAGATAAAAATCGTGTGGTATTTACTAGCCCCTTGTAAAATATCAGCGTATGACTGGCTAGCTCAAGCACTTAGAAACTTCAGATCCCAAGAGCAGTTTTACGTTTGTCAGCAGCTCTGCTGATGTTGAACACTTCAGCCACTGCTGATAGTGAGAGAAGCTGTTAAATCTGTCCTCCTGGAGCACTTTGGTGTCAATATTAGCTTATCAGTCTCCTACAACTCTGTGGACTGATGTTAGAATCCTTGCCTGCAAACACATGATTATAGAGCTGACTGAAAAACTTTTTCACACGAGAACTGTACTCCCTTCAGCATTTGGCAACAAACCATTAGACTTTAAAACAAGTTCCCTAAAATGGCAGATTTTGCCATCAGGAAAGGTGGCAGTGCCCTAGGCTGTTGTTATTCTCCTGATAACATTCCTTCTGTTGGCTGATAGTAAAATGATGTTCAAAATTGAAACACGGCTCTGTTTTACAAAGGAAAACCTTCTTGCACTGAAATCTTTTCCTTTTTGAAGGTGCAACTTTGTTAATATCAAAGGTAGCAGCTTTCCAAAATACCAGTCTGCAAATTGTCAGGAAGAGCCCTATGGCTTCTGCCATCCCTTCATCAGCTGCAGCTCTGATCAGATTTAACCTCTGCCATACGCTAGGTCTGCAGCTTGGAACTGTAATTTTCTCTTTTGCCTTTTGATAAGTAGCAAAATCTCTGTGCAGGAATGATATTTTGTTGAAGTGCATTAACTAGAATGTCTGTCTAAGGTTCTACAGGCGCTGCAGGACCCAGACTGTTTACCATCCATTTAATAGATGCAAACACAGACAACCTTCCAAAAGCCCACACTTGGTAAGATGAAAACATTCAGCTTGTCAGTGCTTGCAGTCCCTTTGTCTTGGCTTAAAGGAGTCATCTCTGTTTGTCCTGGATTAACCATGGGATGTGCAGAGATGATTCCAAGTGTGCTCTGCTAGCTTGGAAATATCTCTGCTCTACAGCCAGCCGAGTAATCGGCTTCTCTTCTTATAGCTTGGTTTGTCTGCTGTGCTATCTGTGGCTTTCATTTATCCTAGAATAGATTGTTCTGGATGATGAGATGTTTGGAAGTTTCTTTGTACATACTCAGCAAAAGCAGGCACTGAGAAATGACTCTCAGCAGCGAGTCCTCACGTGGGATTACAGGGAATAGTTTTCAGATGTGAAGAGCGCGCCCCTGGCGCGGGGTAGGCACAGAGCTGAGCTCCAGGTCGGAAGTCTCACCCTACCAGAGGCAGGAAATCATTTCAGCAGCAGCACAGATTGTCTGCAGGCAGAGCAGGGGGTAGGTCTGTCTGATGTCTTGCCCTGTTTGCAAGTCTCCTGCATCTGCCTCCTCCTCCCAAACGCTGCTCTGTTAAGTCGTGCATTCCT